CGCCCTCTCCAGGCACGCACTGCTCTCCAGCTCCTGACAAGAGGCCAAGGGAAACCATTTAGATGTTGCAAACACAGGTGAAAATACTTCTGAGCAACCTTTCTCTAGGTTCTCTAACTTCTATGAGGACCCAAATTGTGTTTGCAGAAAGCTCTATCGATGTATCATGTTAACTAGCTCTGTGATATGTTTCAGGAAGGTGAGTTTTGGATTTACATCCCTGGATTTTACCGAGGCTCATCCGTGATTGGCCAGTGAATGACTGCCATGCATTGTCTGTAAAACTCTTGTTCAGTGTGTCAGGAGGCAGTTCTCTACGGGCATCTGCACCTCGTACACATAGGATCACTGGCTGCTTTTCTGTTCTGACCTACTTTTTCCAGAATGTTTTTCTAGCCTTGGAAGATAGAGATAGTGTTTTCTCTGGAGCAGTGCTCAGACATGATTACTACCCAGCACATGAGGTTAAGGTTCCATCCTGTTATGCAACCCACTGTGTGTGCTGGGGTTACTCGGTCCCCTCTGTCACCGGAGGAATCTGGGACTCAGGGAGCCAGTATAAGAAAATGCTGGTTTCTGAATGTTGCTGTTTCTGTGAGTAATAATGTTCTTCGTCTCTGGCCCAGTAGACTTGTGTCTTCTGCCAGCATTCATGAAACTGACCGGCTAAGTTGTCACCTTGCAAATAGGGTAAAATCTCAGAACTTGGATTCATAGTTCTTTACAGATAGCCTCAATGTTCCTCATTTAGGGAACCATATGTGGTTAGAGAATTTTTTTCCTGTAGAAAGTGTCCATTCTTGACAAAATGGCCTGATTTTTGCCATCAGTGATGAGAATTATACAACCCTCATGTTTTTCTTCTTTTGCCTTTGTTACTGGAAAGTTCAAGAGTAAATTAATGTTCAATTGAAATAACCAAATGAACATAGTTATAATTATCTTTCATTCATTATGTAATATCTTTAGGTAATATATCTATTTTCTCATGATAAATGGTAAGTGCAGGTGATAAAAGTCCATTTTCTTCTGGTAGGTACTAAATGAATAAGTAGTCCAGAGTGTGGCTAACCTGGACTATTATAGCATCTAACCACCATTGGAATGGTCATTTCCATTGAAAGATGCATCCAAATGTTGCAAGCACACCCCCTGAGAACCCAGTGCCGCCAGAGTCTTCCGTCAACCCATGACTAGGATCCAGGGAGAGCCCACACGATGGCAGCTGCTTCTGGGGTGCTCCTGATATGGAAGGGTCACCGATGTTCCGGGCGTGTGGGCTTCTGTGGCTCCTCCCCTGGAGCACCGGCTCCTGGACTGACAAGGCATCGACCCCACATAGGCATGATGAGGGCGGGAACTCCGAGGGCGGAGAGCGTCAAACAGGGACTCCAGCAGTGGCCACAGACACTGGCAAGAGCCCCAGCAGTGTCCTGGGGTCCCCAGATCCGGAACAGGGTTTTGAGTGTGTCTGATTTATGGGGAATGTCCTGTTTAGGACCAGTCCTGTGAGTGGGTGAGGGGAGCAGGGCAGAGCAGGGAAGGGCTGAGCAAGGCTGCAGTCTTAGAGAAGGTCTGTCCTTGGCCTGATCTTCAAGGGGGGCCTTGCCTCTGATGGGGCAAGTGTGCTAGCTTTGGGGGGCATGGTTCATGCAGGACACATACCCCACCATGCCTGGCAATGTGACACCCATTGGCTGAGGGACAGTTCTCCAAAGAAGGCAGCAGTGAGTTCCCAGGACCCACACCGGCAGCAGGTGTGGGGTGGGTGCTCCTGGTCAAGGAGGCGGGGAGGGTCCCAGCAGCAGCACCCGGGCTGTGCTGGCGGTATGAGTGTGTCAGCCTGTGGGGACAGGCAGGTACAGGACTGCACAGAGCATGGTGCTGTACTGGAGTGTCGCTGGGGCAGTTTTCCCAGCTGAAGACAATGGCAGGTCCTTGCTGAGCTCGGGATGGACAGCCTGTGGACTCTGTTCTGACGTCATCTACAAGTGGTCCCTTCAAGAACTAATGTCTAACGAAATTAATTAGCACCTTATTCCATTTTGTTATGCATTTCACAGCTCTGGAATTCTAACTCAGCTGGAACTGTGGTTTTGGTGTTTCCCATTTGCCTTCAGAAGGAAGTCAAGTCACCTGGTCCCTACGCTCCAGGAGAACGAGCAGTTGGGCCTTCTCATGAGGCAATGTGGCTCAGTGCCCAGCCGGGAGAGTGGCAGTGCCCACCAGCTGATGCTGATGGAAAGCACGGGGTCAGGAATGAAACAAACTGCTCACAAATTTGATAAAAACGGGACAGCATCAGGCACAGTTTCTTGACTACCCATCTGTTCTTGAAACTCTGCACATAACGGAGCCCCCACATGCCTGTGGGGGCCATGTCTTCTCAGTCACCAGGTTGTTTTCTCAGGAAATTCTCAAGTGAAACTTGGTCCTCAATTTATACACACCAAGACCTCTGGGAGTCGAAGGGAAGGAAGTATGGTTTTGCATGTCAAAGGTGAAAGCTCCATGAGAAAGGGCTTTGAGATTGAGTCCAAACCACACAGGCAAGAAGTTGACTCTTTACGTCCTGACGCCATAGACGAGGGCTCTCAAATAAGTCTCATGGGATGGAGTCCTCTGTGAGAAGTAACCATTCCCAGTGCATGACAGGATTCCCTAATAATGGAATCTACTAATAATAAGTTTATATTAATTGCCCACTTGACATTTTATAGCCAAATAAACAACACAGCATAACAGAACAGAAAGGCCAGCAGCCCCCACCACCACCTGGACCCTTCAAACTTAGACCCAAATAAGGTCCCATCTGTAACTGGCCATGTCCACAGTAGATGCAGTGCCATACCCGTGAGTGGTCATGTCCACAGTAAATGCAGTGCCACACCCCTGAATGGTCATCAAGAAATATCACTGGGCCTAAAAGACAGTGAAGAAAATCCCAGATGATGTAGAGATAAAAGAGTCCTGAGGAATTTTGAAGTGATTTGGGTTTCAAGTGGTAGGTTTGTATGCCTGCCATGCCTGTTTGGATTTACCTGTTTTCTCCCTGACTGGTGACTCTCTCTCCTCCCAGCAGAAGAGGAGTGTGAGCCACAGGGCAAGTGACATTAAACACCTACTCCCTCAAAAATAAAAGGCCAGTTATGCCCTCAAGGAGCCTATCAAAAAATAAAATATTAAAAAAAAAACAGTTCTTTTTTCCCCACACTATTCCTTACTTTATTTTCTCTAAAGAGACAAACATTTATCATATAATGACAAAATATAAAATGTAAGTGGTGACAAGTGCTAGAAAGGACAATGCAGGGAGTGGTAACCCTCCCACGGTGCGCGTGTAGCGAGTGGCACGGGGGCTTCTGTGAGGGGTGGCCCAAATGGAGACTGGAGGGGAAAGGGCGGAAACGCACAGGACAGAGGGGCTTAGCCAAGGCCCTGGGGGCTGAGAAGGTGGGAGCGGGCTGGGTGGGGAGCAGGGGCAGGAGACGTGGTGTCACTGAGTCTCTGTGGGGGTTTACTCTTAGCAGTGCGGAGAGAGCTGTAAGCAGGAGGAATAACGATCACATCTGCACCGACACGGCAGCCACCTGGAGCCTGAAGCCGGAGGAGACAGAGCAAGCACAGACCTGTGGGGTGGTCGGTAATGCAGGAAACCGTGGTGGTGCTTGTTTTAAAGAGGGGGCAGTTTCAAGAGCTGCGCTGGGTTGGAGAGACCCTCCGTGAGGGAATCAATCCTTCCTTATCCGTGTGCACATTTCTGTTTTAGAACCAGTGACTCCCTGAAGCACCTACTGTGTGCACGTGTCTCTCCCCCTCCTGGACCACGGCTGCAGGAGGTCGGGGGTCGTGGCCTTGCCCACTGTGGCTCCTTCCTAGGCACCAACGAAGCCGGCCCTGGGATGCAGGCAGACTGGAGAGCCAGGTGTGCAGAAACCTGCCCCAGAGCAGGACAAGCAGAGCATTAACAGGCGCGGCCACAGCCAGGCAGGGGCGAGAGCGAAGCTGCTAGACGGGAAAGGATTCCGCAAAGAAAGCTTTGCCCCTAGGAGGCAGCAGTCACCCTCACTTTTCCTTAACAATTCTATGTCATGTGCACTGCGCTTGACACCCTCAATTAATCTGACCCTTCCTAGCCATAGTCCCTTTCAGTTAATTTCATCCTAGAGCTAAGTTTTTGTATGTTCTAATTCTTGGCCCTTGAGCAGAAATTTCAAAGTCGTCATGCCCTTTATTAATGACAAAATGAAAAGTTCTCAAGATGGCAGAGGCTCACGCCCTTCCTTAGTCCCTCGGGCGGGCTGGGCTTCCTGGGCCTCTTCTACACCTGTGATTGTCTCTGAATGAGCAAGTCACAGCTCGGCCACCCTCACTTCTCAGCACTTGCGAGCTCGTGGCTGAGCAGCCCACAGGGCGCAGAGTGCCCGCGTCCTGGGTGCAACTCGGCGGCGCCAGCCCAGGAGCCAGGCCCAGGTGGGCGTCCCGCTCCAGGCACGCAGCTTCCCGGCAGGCGAGGCGCTCAGAGCCCCCGCCCAGGCACCCTGAGCGCAGGCCTCCAACTCCAGAACTGTGAGACGTACATGTCTGCTCTTTGTAAGCCACACAGCCTCTGGTGATTTGGCGTAGCAGCCCAAACTGACCGAGATGCTTGCCTTGGAAAACAATGCTTGACTCATGGAGTTGGGAAAATGGCGGATCAGGGGTGATCTGGCTGTCTGCGATGGGAGGTGAATAAAGCGGACAACCACACGTGAGTGAGCTGCACTTCCACAGGATCAACTTCGCAAACCTGCAGAGAAGCACTGGGGCACAAAAAAAAAGCAGTGGCGAAGATCAAAGGTGCGCGGAACAGCCTCCGCAAAGCCTGGAGAGTTGGAAATACGCGCGAGGGAGGGCGCGGGCGGCAGAGCCGGGAGGCGCCGGTTCCGCCCTGCAGGGAGGCGGCCCTTGCCCGCCCAGCCCGCGCAGGCAGGAAGTCGCTGACGCCGGCCGGAAGTGGTAGAGCGGGCTCACGGCCGTGTGGCGTAGGGTCTGCCGCAGGGAACTGTTTGAACTCTCCTGAGCGCTCTGCCGGGTCAGTTTGGGTGGGGTGGGTCCAAGCCCAACGACTGCCCCCCATACCTCAGGAGCTGGAGTGGAGACGGCGTCTCACTTCAGGACGCTTCTAGGAGGTGGGCGATGGTGTATTCCTTAAAGGAGGCTCTGCCTTGGAAATCACTGAGGTTTGGGCTGGTGCCGGGTAGACAGAGAGCGCAGATCTCTACACCTAAACTGTGTCTCAGCGAGTGGGGCCAGTGGGCTCAGCAGGCCGTTTGGAGACAGCCCGCCACGCCCAGCCCAGCTTTCCGCCCTGCAGGCACCTTCCGGGCTGGTGCGGGGAGGGCAAGTCGCGGCCCCTCCGTAGCTTGGAATCGCGGCAGAGGATTGCTCTGGAAGCAGTCTCAGACCTCCCTCTGCCCCAGCCCGGCTGAATGAGTTGGGCTTTTGAAAAAAGGGAAATAAGGAGAAAAACCATCTGCTCCTACATCCCCGCCCGGGTTTTCCCATTCCAGCAAGTTGGGCCCGGACTCTGCGTTTAAAGGGGCGGAAAGTGTGTAGGAGTGGCTTGCACTGCTGTCGCGCCAGATTGCACTTGGCCGATCCCCGTCACACACAGCTGCCTGCGCTCCGTGCCCAGGAAGCAGAGCCTGTCTTCCCAAGGTGGAGTAGCAAAGGAGGCTGCGTTTCCAGATATGACCTGGGGTGACATTACCACCGACACTCTACTGAGACTTGGGCCCTGGTGCTTCCCGCGAAAGGGACTGACTTCGTCCCTGGGCGGAGTTGAGAAAGAGGCTGTTTAACCTGAAACCCCAGTGGCAAGACTGTTAATTCCACTTTGCTTTCACTTCCCCACTGGCAACTGAAAGTCCGTACTAGCAACTTATCAGGACAGCCTTTCAAGCTGGGACCCCTGTTCACCTCTTGACTGTGGCCTGATGCCATGCCTCCAGCCAAGGGGGAAACCCTATTCCTGGGAATTGTGGGGGGGTGAGGGAGTCCACTGTCTGGGCTGAGATCTGCTAAGGTTGAAGATGGCCCTTGGAGGCGACCAGACCACTGGGTTTTCATGGGGAAGTGAATGACCCCACCCCCACAGGGGCCGAGGAGCGAGGCAGGTCACTCTGGTCTGGGACCCTCCATGGCCTCGGCCAGGGCTTCTCCAAGAGCTCTGAGGTTTTGGCCACGTACCAACTTGATAAACCTCATCCTTGGAGGGGTGGAAGAATGAGAATAACCACTTCCTGGGTCAGGTAGCCCTAGGAAGCGCCTTTCACCCAGGCCGCTGGGTTATCTAACCCTCTGACAGGGGAGACTCCGCCCTTAGGGGAGCGGGAAAACAAGAAAAGATGTTTCCCAGTCTGGGACTTGTGGCAGTCTCATCCATTGCCCCTGCCTCTCAGCCCACCAATACAGACTCAGCCCTGGAAGTTTGGGAGAAAGGAGAAAAGTCGCTCTCCCTGTATGACTAGCTTAAATATGTGGGACCTTGGAATTAAGCAAAAGGGGGCAGAGTGATGTCTACATAGAGCTAGTTGCTTTTGATCTTCTGATAAGTTCAGAACACAAGGGCTTGCACTTGGCACCCAGACTGTTGCCAACTTACAGGCCTGTGGTTTGGGAAGGAAAATATTGACCATAGTCCTTAGCATTCGCACCAATTGACTCCCCCCACCAGGAGCTCCTCCACAAGAGTGACGAAAGATCTCTGAATAACACGTTAACCGCTCCCTGCTAGCTACAGATCAAGCAACCTCTGAAGTATTCTCTCTTAGGCTCACTGATACTTGATGCTCCCCTCACCCCACCTAAAATAGTAACGGGACTTTAGGAACCCTTGGGAGTGGCAGGACATTCCCTAAAGACTGAGATACCTGTATATCCTATTTGGAGGCTCAGAATACAATACCAAGGATTTGGAATACCTTGATAATTGACTCCTCCTCACAAACCACAGTTAACAAAAAAGAGAGTAAACACAGAGCCTAACATAGTGCCTCCCACCTCAACCACTCGCACTCACAAGAGTGATCTAACCCCTGGGTGTTGAAACAAGGGTCCCAAACCCACAAAACTCTGTAGGCAGAAGGTGAAGACATCACGTCAAAGATAACCCAACAGGCTCAAACTCCTCTAAGACAATACAGGAGCAGAGCACATATCCCCAGCTCTGCCAAATATCATTCCTTTGGAATCCCAGAATTTAGCTCATAATCCAGTCCCAGTACCTCTGGTCCTCGACAAAGCATCCAGATGAGAAAGAACCAGCGAAACATCACAGGAAACATGAAGGATCAGAGATAAAAGTTACCTCCAAAAGAAAATACTCAATTACCAACTGACACCAACTTACATGATATGATTAAACGGATGGAGGAAGAATTCCAAATATGGATTGTTAGAAAACTCAATGGAATTGAAGAGAAAATAGAATCCCAACATAGAGAAACCACAAGGACAATTCAGGAAATGAATGAAAAGTTCTCCAAATAAATTGAAATAATACAGGAAAAACAAACAGAAATCCTGACAATGAAGGAAACATTCAAGGAACTCCAAAATAAGTGGAAAGCCTCAAGAATAGGATGGATCTTGCAGAAGAAAGAATCTCAGAGCTTGAAGATTATGCCTATGCACTAAACAAATCAGAGGAAGAAAGGGAACACAGAAACAAGAGAAAAGACCAAAGCTTACAAGAAATGTGGGATTATATTAAAAAGCTGAATCTCATATTGATTTGGATCCCAGAAGGGGAAGAGGTACATTCACATGGGCTGGAAAACTTATTTCACGGAATACTAGAGGAAAATGTGCCAGGCCGGGCCAGAAATCTTGATATCCAAATACAAGAAGCACACAGAACTCCTGGGAGACTCAAAGTGAAAAGGCAATCACCTCATCACGTGGTTATTAGGCTGACCAAAGCAAATGTGAAAGAAGCAATCCTCTGTGCAGCGAGATGAAAACAACAAATAACCTACAAAGGAAAGCTGATCAGACTAACAGCAGACTTCTCAACTGAAATATTACAAGGCAGGAGGGATTGGGTGCCTATCCTTAATCTTCTAAAACAGAATGAAGCCCAACCTAGAATTCTTTTTTCAGCAAAATTAAGTTTAATCTATGAGGGAGAAATAAAGTCCTTCTCAGACAAGCAATCCCTGAAGAAATTTGCAAAGACCAGACCAGGCCTACAGGAAGTACTCAGATCTGCCTGAGATCAGATCACACCAAAGAGGGCAATAGGCACTCCTCAAAGTAAAATCTCTAAAGAGTTAAAGGCTAGAACTTGAACTGCACGATTGTTCAAGGAGTAAGACAAAGCAACAGGACTTCACCCAACAATATGAATGGAAATCTTCCTCCAATTTCAATCCTCTCAATAAATTTAAATGGCTCTATGTCCTCTGAAGAGACATAGACTGGCAAAGTGGATAAAAATACACAAGCCCAGTATCTGCTGTCTACAGAAAACACATCTAACCCACAAAGATGCCTTCCAGCTGAAGGTCAAGAGATGGAAAACTATCATCCAGGCAAACAAAAGTCAAAAGAAAGCAGGGGTAGCTATACTATTTGCAGATGACATACGCTTTAAAATAGCAAAAGTAAAAGAGGACAAAGATGTCCACTTTATAACGGTGAAAGGGAGGATCCAACAAGAAGATTTAGCAATTCTTAATATTTATACACCCAATGTAGGAGCACACAATTACATAAAGCAAACCTTGTCTGATCTAAATAGCATGTTAAACAATACTGCCATAGTAGCAGGGGACTTCAACACTCCACTGAATGAACTGGATAGATCCTCCAAAAAGAAAATAAGCAAAGAAATAATGGGCTTAAACAGAGCTCTTGAACAAAAAGGTCTGACAGATCTCTACAGAACATTCCACCCAAATAAAGTTGAATTTACATTCTTCTCAGCAGCCCATTGATCATTCTCCAAAATTAATAACATAGTAGGCTGCAAATCAGATCTCAACAAATTCAAAATATAGAAATTATACCATGTGTCTTCTCTGACCATAGTGGCATAAAATTAGAGTTCAATTCCTATAGAAATACTCAATGTTTTACAAAGTCATGGAAACTTAACAATCTATTATTGAAGAATTATTGGGTCAAGGAGGAAATTCAGAGGGAAATCAAGAGTTTCTTCGAACTAAATGATAGCAGAGACACATGTTACCAAACCTGTGGTATACAGCAAAAGCATACCTGAAAGGAAAACTAATAGCAATAAATGCTCACATCCAAAAAACAGAAAGCTTAGATACTGACAACCTAATGAATAGACTCAAGGAATTGGAAAAAGAAGAGCAAACCAATTACAATCCTAGTAGAAGAAAATAAATAACTAAGATCAAAGCAGAACTAAATGAAATTGAGAACATGAGAATTATACAGAAGTCAACAAAACCAGAAGCTGGTTTTTCTAAAAGATAAACAAAATTGATAGCCTTCTTGCTAGATTGACAAGAACTCAAAGGGAAAGGACTCTAATAAACTCAATAAGAAATAAAAAAGGAGAGGTCACAACAGACACCATAGAAATACAAAACACTATTTTTGATTACTATAAAAAACTATATGCCCAAAAAGTACATAACAAGGAGGAAATGGAAAAATTCCTAGAAATGTACAACCTCCCTAAGTTCACCCAGGAGGTAACAGAATTTCTGAATAGACCGATCTGAAGCTCAGAAATTGGAGCAATAATTAATAACCTCCCCAAACGGAAAAGTCCCGGACCAGATGGCTACACTTTAGAGTTTTACCAAACATACAAAGATGAACTCATACCTATACTACAGAAATTATTCTACAACATTGAGAAGGATGGTGTCTTTCCTAACTCATTCTAAGAAGCCAATATAATCTTGATACCAAAGGCATTAAAGGACGCAACAAAAAAAGAAAATTACAGACCAATATCCCTCATGAATATGGATGCAAAAATCCTCAACAAAATTTTTGCAAGTAGAATTCAGCAGCACATAAAAAGAATAATTCACCATGACCAGATGGGCTTTATTCCAGGGATGCAAGGGGGGTTAAACATACGCAAGTCTATAAATGCAATTCGCCTCACAAATATAAACAAGAACAAAGACCACATGATTCTCTCAATAGATGCAGAAAAAGCATTTGACAAAGTCCAACACACCTTTATGATAAAAACTCTTAACAAAATAGGCATCGGTGGCTCCTACCTATCAAGTTCCATTTATGACATACCCATAGCCAATATCATACTGAATGGGGAAAAATTGAAACCATTCCCACTTCAAACCAGAACTAGACAAGGATGCCCACTATCTCCTCTTCTATTCAACATAATGCTCGAAGTCCTAGCTCTAGCAATCAGGCAAGAGAGGGCTATTAAGGGCATCCAAGTGGGGGCAGATGAGATCAAATTCTTGCTCTTCACAGATGATATGATATTATATCTAGAAAACCCCGTGGATTTGTCCAAGAGACTCCTACATTTGATAAATGAATTCAGTAAAGTCTCAAGTTACAAAATCAATATACACAAATCAGAGGCTTTCATATATGCCTATAACAGTCAAGCCGAAACTCAAATCAATACCTTTTACTATAGGCCTAAAGAAAATTAAATATCTATGAATATATTTAACAAAAGATATGAAAGACTTATACAAGGATAGCTATGAAACACTAAAAAAGGAAATTGTAGAAGATGTGAACAGATGGAAAAATGTATGTTATTCATGTATTAGTAGAATCAATATCATTAAAATGTCAATATTGCCTAAAGTGATCACAGAATAAGTGCAATCCCCATCAAAGTACCATCATCATTCTTTACAGATCTAGAAAAAATAATTCTTCATTTTTTTATGGAACCAGAAAATGCCAAAATAGCCAAAGCAATCTTAAGTAAAAATATCAAACTGGGAGACATCAGTCTTCCTAACTTCAAATTATACTATAAGGCAATAATAAATAAATCAGCCTGGGACTAGCACAAGAACAGAGGCATTGATCATTGGAACAGAACTGAGATTCCAGAGATGAAACCATTTGCATATGGTCATGTTATCTTTGATAAAGCAGACAAAAATATACATTGGGGAAAAGAATCTATTTTCAATAAATGTTGCTGGGAAAACTGGATAGCTACATGCAGAAGAATGAATCAGGATCTCTACCTCTCACCTCTCACAAAAATCCACCCAAGATGGATAACAGACTTAAACCTAAGGCATGAAACCTTAAGAATCCTAGAAGAAGATGTTGGGAAGACCCTTTCATACATCAGCCTAGGCTAAGAATTCTTGAAGAAGACCCCCAAAGCAATCACAACAACAAAAATAAACAAATGGGATCTGATCAAATTAAAAAGCTTCTGCACAGCCAAGGAAACTATCATTAGAGCAAATAGACAACCTACAGAATGGGAGAAGATATTTGCTCTCTACACTTCTGATAAATGTCTGATAACAAGAATCTATCTAGAACTCAAAAGCATTAACAAGAAAAAAATCAAACAACCCCATCAAGAAATGGGCAATGGAAATGGACAGAATCTTTTCCAAAGATGACAGAATAATGGCCAGCAAATGTATAAAAAATGCTCAATATCTCTAATCATTAGAGAAATGCAAATCAAAACCACAATGAGATATCACCTAACCCCAGTGAGATTGGCCTCTATCAAAAAATCCCAAAACAACAAACGTTAGTGAGGATGTGAAGAGACAGGAACACTCTTACATGCTGGTGGGACTGCAAATTAGTGCAACCTTTGTGGAAAAGAATTTGGAGATATCTCAAAGAGCTAAAAATAGAAATAACTATCAATCCAGCAATAGCATTATTAGGCATCTACCCAAATGATCATAAGAAATTCTATAATAAAGACATCTGCACCCGAATATTTGTGGCAGCACAGTTCACTATTGGAAGGACGTGGAAACGACCCATGTGTCCATCAATTTATGAGTGGATTATTAAAGTTTGGTATATGTTTACAATGGAATATTATTCAATTCTAAGAAAGGACAGTGAGCTAGCACCACTTATATTATCCTGGATTGAGCTTAAGCCCATTATCCAAAGTAAGGTGACACAAGATCGGAAGAAGGGACTTCACATGTACTCGCCATCAAATTGGTACTGACTGATTAACACTATGGTGCTCAAAGGGGTGGTGTTCACCAGGAATTTGGGGGTAGGGAGGGTAGACCCACATCTGAGGGATGGGGTGAGCATTGTGGAGGGGAAGGGCATGCCTCTAACCCTAGCTAGGGAGAGGCAAAGATATAAAATGCAACCAAAATGTTTGTACTCTATTTTCTTGAAAAAAAAACCAAAAACAATGCTTGGTACGGTGGGACTGTGGTCTGTGGTCATCTCACCTTGTCTTCTCGTCTAAGCACTAGCGTGGAGAGCTGGCTGAAAGTATGCAAAGTTCTCCTCCTACTCGCGTTTGCCTTTGTCTACAAATAGAAAAGCATTAGGCTCTGCTCACATCGCTGGGTCTGTCGCTCACTTTCACACTGCCAGCAGTGGCTGACATGCCCTTGCTTACTGGGTCACTTTGGCGCACACTATGCATCACGCGCTGTGTATGTGTGCCTGCAGTTTACTGATTATGTTATGTACGTCTCACTGACCCTCACAGGAGAAACCACAGATTGGAGAAAATGCTCATGATATGAACTTGAGAGAACGAGAAAGTGAATGGCTAACACTCCTGATAGGAGCCACATTTGCAGGTGAAAATTATTATTTTATTTCATTTCTATGTTAACCTTCAGAAATTTCTATCGCATTTAAATGTCTGGTGTACAAAATATACTGGAATAAGAGAATATTCACTAATTTATAAATAAGTCTATAAATTCACAGAATGCTTTAAAATATTGCACTGGTAGTGGTGTCTTCCTTAAGAATGCTTGCAGACCATGCATGTAGATTGCAGCCCCTGCCTCAAAGCAGGCGTCTGTCACATGGCTTCTCCCACCTGCCCAGCAGGCTCTGGCATGCCTTCCCGCCACACTGGGACGCGCTGGCACGTGGATATTACAACTGGGGCCACACCAGCAATGGGCCGGGAAACAAAAACATCATTTTAGGTAAATTGTGACAGTCCAGAGGAGCTCTTCTGCTTTCTGGCTGAAATCCCACACAGGTATGACAGCAACAGAAGCCCCACACCTCCCTGGCTGCAGCTGGCCCCTGTGAACCTGAGCAGAGACAGGCACTCTGCTCACCCTCTGCTAGGAGGTGTCACTGAACCCCATGATGGTTCTATGGATCTTTTCTTTGACTGGCTCCTAGCGGTGTGCCCTTTGAAGCTCTTACCTCGCTTTGGATGGAAACCATGTAAAGCAATCACATTCTATATTGTTTCCATCTTTGACTGTGAACCCACTGGCCCCTATCCAACCCAAACCTCAGCCCTGATTTCCTCAATATTTGGCCTACACTCACAAACCTCAAAGAACCTCCCAGCAAACCTGGCTTCAGTCTAAAGTCTCTTTACCCACATTTACACGGGACTGCTTTAAACCAGTAAGCCTGCAGTAAGACTGCTCAAGAATGCCATAGCTTCCTTCCAGTTATGTTATATAACTTCAGTCTCGTTTCCTTAAAGAAAGAAAAATATTATTTGGAGATTCAAATTGAGTAAGTTTAATAGAACCATAATGACTCTAGCAATCATTTCCAAAGCTGCAAGTGCTCACCATGGTAGCTGTATATCCTGACACACACATGGAGAATATTAACAGAAATCTTCCCACAATGTTGCTTTTAGAGCTTAGTATTGCAATTTGTTAAATGTTCTCCCTAATTTTCTGCAGAAAGGCCATGGTCCCTTTTTATAGTAAAATAAACACTCTAATGCTTTCTACATATTGCATCTGTGAAAAATACATACATGTGTGCAAAGTCCTAAACGGGAGCAATATTTGTATGCAACAACATGTGACACAGTTTGCATCCTGACATTGCAGAGTTAACACTGCCTGTGAAAAATGTTGGCTCCGGTTGAAATACGCCATGCACAGTACACCCTGTAAATATAATGCAGGAGATTAACATAAAGGCAAAGTAAAAGTTTGCATATCTTTATATCTCACAGAGGGTCTCCAGACCTGCCTTTATTCCCCAAACACTGGGCTTCATAAAGCCACATGTAGATTCTTCATCAGTCCTGGGAGGGTGGGAGCTGTATAGACTCCCAAACATGTGCAGAGAAAAATACTACATTTGTTTTCCTTGCCTAATATTTATTATAGCACCTGGTGCCCGAAAGCAAGAGATGCTGGTGGTCAGACCTCCAGCCAAATCCAGAGACTGGCCCAGAGGAAAGCACCAGTTGCCAGTGCTCCTGGCATGCCCAGCCTAAAAGAAAGAGCAAGAGGCTTCCACGGAGCCTTCGCACGCACGCAGATTCCTGTTAGACATTAGAAACTAATTCTTGCAGTTGGGTTTAGTTTGCAATTTAGATACATGAGGATAAACAGCTGCCAGTATGCCAGGCCAAAGAAGCTAAGTCTTAAATCGCATGCAAGAAAAACAGGACAGAAGTAAAATAACCATATGTGTACTACAGGGTAAAAGCAAACACCTCTAAATTGAGTTTTAAGAACCAAGGTGGGAAGGGGGACGTGTCTTTAAAAATCCAGGTTATTTATATAAATACCATCTTTTTCACTGCAAATTGCATACCTTTCCATCACTTCGTGGTATATAAATAGACACAGATGTGAGTCTCTTCCTCTGTGTGAAGTTTTCACAAAACCTTTGTTCTTGTAAAGGCCTTTGTTATTTTGAATCTGAATTTCTTATTCACGAATCAGGGAGCAAATTGAAATGCTGATTCTTACATTTAATGAGAGATCATTGAAGGGTTTCATCTACTAGAAGGTAAATTGGAAAGTCTCATGGTTAATTCCTGGCCCTACCGCAGTATCTTCAGTTATTTAGCAACTGTGGTCATTCATCAAATATAAGGCAGCATGGACAGCCGGGTGTAGCTCTCAGAAGCAGAATGTGCCAGTCATAACTGTAGGAGCCATCAATTGAAAGGTGCACCCTGACTTCAGAAGTGTTAAATGTGAAAATATGCGTGGCTTAGGAGTGCTGACAGAGTGTGTTCACCGTGTGCCTCCTAGGCGTCAGGTACTGTGGGTTTTTCCTTTATTCGTGGAAGTTACTGCCCAATCAGACATGGGTAAAACTGTGTCTGTGAGCACTCTGTCCTTCCACAGGGCTGATGGCGAGGGGCTCAGACTTTCTCTTGGTCCTTTCACTTCCGAAAGACAAGTCAGCCCATGACACGAGCTACCTTTAAACTCAAGAAAGCAAGTAAGCAAAAGAAAACATAGGACAGTACAAATCTTCAAAATATCAAGCACTTGAGAGAGCCTAATTTCAAGGAATCTCCATTCATTCGTGCTTTGTTTGCAAACACGTTTCCTGTATTTATTCCTTGTGAAGAAAGGGCAACTGACTAGTTCATTTCTATTTTTATTTAGATTAATTCATTGGCTTTTAAAAAGAAATTTCATAATTCTGACATGACAGAGTTGAAAGCTTACTGGGGCTTTCTTTCCATAAAAATAGCCCATTCAGTAGTTAGCCCGGACCTTGGCATTCTTATCTCTCAGGATCAAGACTGGATACCTTATTTTAGTCTTTTTCTTTCTCCTGATAATATATATGACTAATAATAAGTCTTACATTTGTATTATGCTTTGAAATTCTCAAGACACTTTCTCATATATTATATTTGAAATTCACAAAAATATTTAAGTGACCCACCAAAGACATTTAGGCACAAAACTTTTTATTTTATATTCATCCTTAGGGAAGGGAAGAGAAAATAGTTTCATTAGTTGACATTCTAGTTTTTCTTCAATTTCAACTTGAAAACAAATAGGCTTGAATTCTGTATGTGCATATATATACATTATGTAAAGATTATTGATGTGACATATTATAGAATAAAGACTTGTCCTCTAACTATGTAAATGACTAGAAATGATTAAATTACATTCCAATGTCTAAAAACAAAATATCAAAGCACAAAGCAGTACTTTGAGCTTGGTGGCATGAAGTTGAGGTTTACATCTTCCTGATTGGGAACTACGTAATCATCTCGAGAAGATCAAAGCACTGAAATGCAAACTCCATGTCCAGTGAAACTCAGAGGCACCTAAAATCTCAAATATCATGGAGACAGGACTTCCCACCGAGGCAGGGTGGAGAAGGTGCGCGGCGGGCATGCAGGCCTCAGAGAGAGCTGGGCTTTGGAGATGAGGAGCCCTGTGGGCAAAAATCACTTGTGGACTTTCCCACAGGAACGAACACCTAGAAAATCCTAAAGAAGGCAAGTTTGATCCAAGAAAATTTCTACCCATCCCTACTTCATTAAAGCTTGAAGGAAGAGACAAAAAGTTTTGCACTTTCAGGAACACAAGGAACATTTTTCTCAAGGACCCTTCTTGAAGAAACTAAGGGAATACTAGAAGCTCCCGCAGAGGCCTGGGAGGAAAAACCGGAAACTAGGTGAAGGGTGTGTTTGGGGCCTTGGCTTTGCTTCACTGATGGAAAAGGCTGAGGCAAACCTTGGAATTATGTTTTCAAAACAGAACATAAATGTTACAAACCAGGAAGAAAATGTGGAGAGATTTAATCCAACAAAGAAGAGAAGGGGGAGGTAGGAGATAGTGTCCATGCATTGATTCCATTATCTGGAATGTTTGAGGCTTGCGATACATCACCGAGCACCTAGAAATCAAGCAAGCGGCAGAGGCATAATTCCACGTGAGAGCATGAATGTGAACACTCACACTGGCGAGACAGCGAATGTGTAAATGGGAGGAGGAGAGAAGAGGAAACAGGGACAGAGAGGGATAAATGACAGGGAACAAGCTTCCATATCTAGAAAGGCAAATGGATTAAACTCATCCATTAAAAGACCATCATGTTGGATCACAAAATAAAACAGTTGGAAGGAATGAATTTAATACAAAACTAGATTAAATAATCAAAAAACAAAGATTATGAAAATAGTAAAAATATTAAAAAGTCTGTTTTATTTAAAAGAGATTATTTTTTAGCCTACAAAAGAAAAATGCTGGTATATACAATAAAAAATGATAAAAGGAAAATGACCACAGACATAATTAAATTAAAATAAGCATAGTAAACTATTTTGCTTTATTTTATGTAAATAAATTTGAAACGGGCATAAATTTAAACTTCCTTAAGGAGACACAATATACCAAAATGAACACTAATGAATCTAATCAGATCAATTGCAAATTATATAAAATGTTTAAAAAGCTATACCTTACAAAAAACCCAAGCCAATGGCTTCACAGGAGATTTCTACCACACCTGTGCATATCAGATACCTTGAATGCTATTCCAGAGCACAGAAAAGAAAAACAATTTCCAAATTATTTTGATGCAGAAACATATGAGTGAGCCTATAGCCTGACAAAAGAGACACACACACACACACACACTGTATTGCTTACCACACAAACATAATCCATCAGCACATTAAAAATTAACATGCTACGTGGGATCAGCTGGGAACCAGAATTAGCTCCCAGATGTGGGGAAAGAGTAAGTGAGAGATCCCAGGATGCCGCACTCCCGCCATGGACTTCCACAGTCCTAGCTGTGGAAGAGCCCTTCCACCCTGCTGGGCTTCAAGACTAACACAGGGAGCTGCCTCCAGACTGCAGAGGCGCCGCTCCAGAGAGGGGACTCACGCTTAGTCCCACAGGCTTCTGACCCCTGAGCGGCTGCAGCACGGTGCCGGTCTCAGACCCCAAAGGACTGCATCCTGCCCTGAGGCCACTGCTGCCACTGCTGCACCAGGGAGGGAGAGGGGTAAGTGGAGCCTTGGCACCTCCATGTGCTCCAAGGACAAACCCCACCACCGTGGCTGTGGGCAGCTGCAAAACCGAGATGCAAGCAAACTGTTCACCCCTCATCTGTCCGCCTACACTGCTCCCCCTGAGAGTGGCCCTGCCCTACCAGTGGCAAGCCTGCAGTGCAGCTGCCACTGCTCCACCCTGAACATTCCACTAGCAGCCTGGGAACCACCCAGCCATTTCTTTCTCTAGGTGATATAAACTAAATATAAATCATAAATCAGTACATGAAAGGTTTACATTAGTTTGGCCCAAAAAGGAGGGGCATCTCAAAGTGGGGGCTCACAGGTTACAGGTGGGTACAGAGATTTTTTAATTTGTAATTGAAAGAAATAAACCATTGTGTAAAATCTTGGATTCAGTAGAAAGAAATGTTCAAAGGTAAGGAATTCTGCTATTCTTACAGCAAGCCACCATATATCAACTCAAAGTGAACTATTAAGTACATTGATGGCCTGTAGGCATGACTTCACCTTTGCCTTGCATGGCCCTGGGTCCTGTTGATAATTTAGTATCTCATTGCCACACAGCCTGTTTTGTCAGTCCTTTGATCTCTATTTTAACATTAATGTGATCAGTTATTGTGTCTCCAAAAGAGAGGGGGTATAATGAGGCATGTCCAACCTCCCTTCCCTTCATAGCTGTTATTCAGTTTTTCTGGGTCTCCTTGGCCAAGAGGGGGTTCATTCAGTCAATGGAGTGGGGGGAAGCTTGGGATTTTATATTTAATTTATATCACCTAGAGAAAGAAATGGCTTTTACACTATATTGAGTTTTCCTGTCTTCTCTATCACAAAAAATTCAATTTTCAATTGGTTGCTCGTAACACAGAAATCTTACACTGTACCAAGTTTTCTAATGATTAACAGAAGATATGAGACAGAGGCAGTAGAAACGCATGACACATCAATGTCCAGGAGGTCCCAAATCCATCAGAAGTAAATGTGCCTTTTATTACCCCCAATTGGAATGAATTTGGGATTTGGAATGAGTACAGGATGAATCCATTGCTTGATTTTAATGTCTCTCAAGGATTGCATAATTAACTTTCATTCATCAGTGGTGCTGTGGTTTAGAAAGTCATTAATTGTGGGAGTTTTAAACAAAACATCATGTATATACTGCTACAAGCATGGTTTGATAAGAAATCAGTACAAGGCCTTCTCTGGAACACCCTCATTCATCCTGCAGTCATCAAATTCTATCAGTATGTTTCCAAGGGGATCTAGCTGAAGTCAAAGCTCAGAGTGAGGAACAGAGCTATAGATCTGCTATTTGTCTTTTACTTCCCACAATCCCAAACTTCAACATTTCTTTCCCATATACTATATTAGGTGCTGACTTGCTTATTAATTCAGGGAGAAAATAGCCACAGTCAGAATAAAAGTTCCCTATCTTCCCACCACCACATCTACTAAACTATCTGAAACTGTATTTATAAGTCTTATACTATCCTTATCTGATATTGGCACAAGATTTCACTTATAAAATGAAATTAAAAACTCATAAAATAAATTTGGAAGTACTCCCTCTACTTCTAGTCTCTGAAAAGTTTTTATAAATTTGAATTATCTCTTCCATGAAAAATTTTGGAATTTTTTCTTAAAGTTGGCTGGGCATATTGCTTTCTTATGGGAAGATTTAAAATTTATGATATTAATACAAATGCTTGAATGGGTTTAGGACTAATTTGGGGGGGTTTTGAGTGATTTTTGGTAAATTATATTTTTCTAGGAATTTGTCCATTTTGTTAAAGGTTTCAAGTTTATTGGAATGAAATTGTCAATTGTATTCACAAATTTTTAATCTTTCATCTATCTCTGATTATGTCTCTTTTTGTTCCTATGTTTTTTTTATGGCTTCTCTCATATTTTCTCTTTTTCTTTACCTACTAGCCAGAGCAATGTCTCTTTTATTAATCTTCAAATATCCAACTTTTATTTTTCTTATTTTTCTCTATTTTATCTTTGATCACATTTTCTCTTTTCTGATTTCTTTTTTTCTCTTATTTCTTTGGAAGTATTCCATTGATCTTTTCTAGTTTATGAGGTTGAACTCTCATCAAAGAACAGCAATATGAGTTCAAAAATTTAATTTATAACTTCAAAGGAATTTCAAAAATCTCAAGTAGTTACCATGTTTCAAGTCTTTATTCATAAAGCAAATCTACTCAGTACAGTCACTTCTGTGTCTTAGTAGATTCTCATGTTGGTTGGTTCAAGCCAACTTTTGTAAAATAAATAATCCCTTATTGGGAGTGCTTCTCTCTGACACCTACTCCAGGTGCAGGAAAGGAGTCAGCATCCGAGGGCGCAGGGTGATGCTGCAAAGAGCTTGGGTGGGGATTCTAACCTTGGCTCTACCACTTATCAGCTGTATGACCTGGGGAAAGTTTCTTGAGCTCTCAATTTGTGCAATGTGAATTTTTAAAAATGTGATTAATAATGAATGCACATCAGTTAAAAAATTAGCTGAAATGGTATGTATGAAGAGCTAAAAACAGTGCCTGGTATATACCAAACCCTGTCAACATGTAATTTATATTTATTTTCAGACATATATATTATCTCACTAATATTGGAATTTTTCATTTGTCCATGTGTTTAGTTTCCTGAAGTGTAATCATGACTACAGCTAGTAGATATTCCATTGTATTAACAACAATAATAAAATGAAACTCAAGCAACTTGTAGCAAATGTAGAAACAAATTAAGATAACTCTGAGCTTCCCATAATTTGATGTGCATTGGACCACCTGCAGCTTTCATTAAACATAGATTTTGATTCAGTGGGTCTGCATGCAATCTGACATTTAAATGTACAAGAAGCTCCCACATGGCTTTGATGTCCCTGATCTTTGGACCACAATTTGAGCAGCAAGGCTCTGAAAAACTAGCTAAAGTCAAAATTAAAATATAACTGTGGTGTGTATAGCTTCAGTTGAAAATGCAAAGGTATAAATTTAGGTAAAAAATGTGGACAAAGTTTGAGCCAAAGTGATATGTTAACACAAGGATGCTTGATAAAATCTTCTAAATAAAAAGCTGGGTTACAAATATGGTTAAATAATAGATTTTAGTCGTATTCTCAACTCACACTTTATGCAGGCGGTAGCAGCCATGCTCCTTGAACCAAGAAGACACACATGTGAATGGAAATAACAGGATGTTGAAACAAGGTCAGGATATTGGAACGAGGACTTTCCTGAAAGATTTGAGACACCTGACCCCAGACATCTACCTCCAATGGCTGATAAGTATGCACAGTCCCCTAATCGAGTCTGCTTGATTTCTGAATCTGCAGGGAAATATTTAAGGCAGGCCTGCGAGGAGATTAGCCACTTCTCCCCGCAAAGCCAAGTCCTTTAGATAGGGGTCGCCACAGACGACAAGGAAATTGATAGGAAATAGAGAGAATAAAAGAATACACAGAGACTAAGGTATAGTTTATAGTTTTATATAAAAAGATGAATATAACACAGGGGGATACTTAGGAGACTGGTGTATCCCTGTGAACGTCCAGCAATATGGTTAGATTCATACAGGTTTTTATAATCACAGACATCAATTACCAGTTGTCAGGGTAACATATTTGTATATCAGGGAATGCAGTTGCTAGGGGAGACAGGATTATACAGGTAGTGGGTTAGGTCAAAAGTCCTCTCAAATGGCTTCTAATCTATCTAGGTGAACAAATAGGTACAAAGTATTTCAAGGGCTAACTTCTAAATTCTAAGAGGTGGTTGTCAATTAACAAAGATATAACAAAAGAGGTATAGCGACTCTATATTTCTTTGATTAGTATTGTGGACTTAAAGGTAGACAGACAGGAGAGAGCAGGAAAGGCGTCTCTATAAAACAGGTTGTTTATAACCACACAGCGCATCTCTGAGCAAAGTGCACTCATTGTCTCTGGCTCCCACCCTGTGGGCCATATTTGCCTTGCCTTGTCTTTCAAGACACAGGGAAGCTCACAGATTTTGAGATACCGGAAAGCCTTCCTGGAAAACATCCCTACCAGAGATTTGAGAGCTCTCCCACGATAGCAGCCTCTATAAGTGAACCATTGAGTTCACACATTCCTTCAGGGAAAAACCCTGCAAACTCCTGTTTCTGTCTTTAATATAGTAATATAGGGCGATACAATAAAACAATGGTCTTATGAGCTACATCTCATTAATTCCTCAACCATATTTCTCAACATGAATCTATAAAAGTGCTTTAAATTATATTTCTTGGAAATCGTATTTTCCAGCTCCATCTGCCAGGTTCTGGCACAAGTGACTGTCCCCGCTGCATTAACTGTCATGTCAGTTCTTGAGATAGCCCTCATCCATAGTATTTCTCACCGTTCCAGTGTACTGGCCATTTTGCTCTCGTGGAAATTAATAGGCAAGAGAAAGAACGATTCCTTTGGCCAAAGTTCTGCTGTGATGAGGTTTTTCTGCGTTTATTTTGGCCCAGTGGCGTGGTCAGCTGACCAACCTCGTGTGGCTGATGCTCCGGACGCCTGCTGGAGACGTGCGGTGACACAGGAGTGACGGCCGAGCAGACGCACAGGAGGAGCTTTCCGAATGAGTTCAACTGTATTAACGACGTGGTGTTTTCCTCTCAAGTATTGCCGTCATCGCCTGTGAAAGGTCGAAGAAGGGGCGGAACGAGCGAGCGGTTACCTCCACGAAGGGATATGGACGGTCTGCCCGCCCCAGGCCAGAGGCACACAGATTCTCCACGGCGCGCTGCCCGAGAGCGAGCTGATGGGCTCTCGGGGTGGAGGCATGACCCATCTGTCAGCATGTGAGCACCCTAGTATTTGTCATACTGACGACTGGAGCTTGAAAGCCAAGGTAGCGCTTTTAGAGACCGGCGCTCAATCCACAGCGCTTGGAAGGTGGGGCGGGATGGGACCGGCCGGGCAGGGCTTGGCGGAGCGCGGCCACCAGAGGTCAGCATCGAGACCGCGGTGCAGGGTCCAGCACAGAGGGGCGATAAAGCTTCTCATTCAATCATCAGAAATGAGGCTTCACTTACCATCCTTGGCACCAGTAATATGCTGATTTAAATTGATCCTACATTATAAATAGACTTTTTAAAATTTTTATTCCTTCTTTTATAAAATTAAAGAAAAGGGGGTGTAGATAGCTTTTATGAATATATACACATTGTAACAAAATTTGGAATAAAATTGGAGAGGGAATCACAGAAGAGGAAACAATACAAAGCCTGCAATGAAAACAGGAGTAAAAATGATAAATACCCAAACTCATGCCTTGAAGTCTTTTATGTTGTGAGAAATATGACAAAAAACAATGGTTTTGAGTATTTTGGCCACAGAATGAAAGAGGAAAGTAACAGCCATCTAAAAGTATTTCTCACAATTTACCTTTTGTTAGGTGGGGAAAGACAGTGGCTCGGGTTTCATGCGAAGCCTTAGTGTTCGCGGATCCGAGGGGTGAGGCGGACCGAGGGCTTTGTGTGAAGCTGAGGAGGCCGAGACGTGCACCTGAGCCCCTCTCTCCACACAGGGGCCTGGCTGCCTGTGAACAGCCGCAGCATCCGTCAGCAGCAGCGTAGGTTCACTGCGACAAGACGCTGAAGGGGTCATTTGGTCCCTAAAGTTCTGGCTCATAAAGCAGTGCTTTCGTGGTCAAAGCACTTACACCCTTTATTTGAATAGTCTCTTGTGATTGCCTGATACCCATCAAACCCATGAAGGCAGCCGTCCCCACTGAGGTGGGGTGCCGCAGCCACAGGCCTCCAGTCTGCTGCAGACAGCTTCCGGTCGTGTCCCCGGGCACTTTGATAGCAAGTCCTAAGTAAATAACCTTACAGTCAGTCTACCAACAAGTTCCAGAAAGCTGTTTCTTTTGAGGTTAACGAAAACAACCGGAAATTTTTAAAATAAAAAATAATCACTCACACACCTTGTAACTGAAAAAAATCAATAAAGCTCTCATAGAATATTTAATACTAAGCAATAAAACTTCCTGGTGCAGTCGTCAAGATAAAATGGCTGCAAAGTGTGTGTCTGGGCAACTGGAAGACTTAAATCGCCGCACAAGTTTGTTAACTTACAGGCAGTCGAATGGCGGTGGAAGTCTAACAAATGTGACGTGATTCACGTCACCAACTGACTCTGAAAGCCTAACTGGTGACATAAAACCCAAACCTTTTAATCTTTATTTACAGGAGTGCTTTTTGGCTGCTTGTTCTTTGTGAATGATGAGGGCATCCAAAGAGCTTTGTTTTTCTATTATTTGGCTTTTGAAATGTTAAATGTTTAAACGTTTAAATGGTGAAATGTTTAAATGTTTTCAAAAACTGAATTGAAAAATTAAAAGCATTTCAGAGCACACTATTATTGGATGCCACTGGAAGTGTTTGTTTTCACCCTAACCTATCAAACTTGACCTTCAAGTAATACAATGGGCAGTGTGAACTAAAATGCTCACCCCCTACCGGCTGATTGAATGGACCCCCTAGTGGCCAGAGGAATATTCAAGGGCAAAGTTGCCTGCCAGGAGGAGGGAGGTCAGACAGGTCTTATCATGCCCCCCTCCCTTCTTGGAGACTTCCTTTGTAACCCATTAACAGGCCTAAGGGTATGCAAGACACACCTGCAGGCCTTCAATTTGCAACAAATGGTGGCTTATCTCTGGTAAACAGTTTATGTTAAAACATTCCACGTCTTTAGACAAAGCTTCATGTCTTTAGCCAATTACAATCTAAAGAATCTTTAAACCCACCTATAACCTGTAACCCCCCCCTTCGAGATGGTCCACCTTTTTGGGCCAAACCAATGTATGCCTCCCACAAATTGATTTATGGCTTTACCCATAACCCTTGTCTCTAAAATGTATAAAAACCAAACTGTAACCCAGCCACAGCGAGTCCACTTGCCCAAGGCCTCTTGGCAGTGGCTCCGGGTCATGGTCCTCAAATTTGGCTCAGAATAAATCTCTTTAAAATTATTTTGCAGACTTGGCTTTTTTCCGTTGACAGCAGATTTTGAGGTCAGAAACAAGGAGTTTAAATTGAGCTTCTACAGCTAATTCTCTCATGGATACATGTCCACAGGTGCAAATAGTGAAGTAAAGTTGAAAAGGTAATATTTTATATCAACTTTAATATGTATCTTCATAAAATTAAAAGGCAGTAGTCATGCTCAAATTCCAGAAGTTTCATATTAGCCTGATAAAAACATTTTAAATTTAACTAAGAAACAATTTGGCATCATTTGAAAAGAAATGACTCATATTATATATCATGTAAGAGGATAAAGAGATGATCTTTTGAAAAACAAGGCAAGCAATGTATCAGACACACCAGGTATAAACATGCCCATATAATCATAAAATTGCTAATACAAGCAGAAATGGGCAAGAACAAAAACTACATTTCTAGTTTGGACTTAAACTATTTCAGAGGTAGGAAATCTTTCCCAGCTTTTTCCTTTTTAAAACTTGGTTGAACCATAAAATATAAGAAAACTATTCCTAAAGTAGCTTGGGGAAGTGTGCATGACTAAGGCCAGCTTATTCCTAAGAAGATACTTTGGCTAGTAGACACACACTGCTACTCTGTCCGGCGCAGGAAGCAGAGGATGGTGTGCAGAGGACCAGCTGCTCCAGTTGCACCCGTGTGCCCTGACCTCCGTTGAGTGCCCTCTGTCTTTGGACTGGAGTCCCCACGCAAGGAAGCATTGTGTTGTCTTTGTTCTATTTGATATATTATCCGCCAGGACTACTTTGGGGGTAATGACAAGAGACATTCCAGGGCTGAGAAAGAAGGGAGGCTGAGTAAACCAACCATGAAGGAGATGGCTGTGAGCCTTGAGGGCAGAGCTTTGCATGCCTGAAAAGGCCCAAACACACACACCACTTTTTCCTGTGACAAAAAGTGGCATCCCATGCAGCTCTCCAGGAGAAAAGAAGAGAGAAGACAATTTTGCATTTGGAAGAGAGAAGACAATTTTAAAAATAAATATAATTTGTATTTTCAGAGAAATATGAAAGGCTACAATATCTACAAAATATGTATGAACAAGAGGCTACAAAAATGTATTTAAAAAAAATTTAAAAATAAGTATAGGTACCAAGATTTGGCTAATTATCATGATATTTAATCAAGAACAACCCTTAAAATAGGTAGATATGTTGTATTCCCCCTTCACCCACGTATAAAGAACAACTGGATCTAATATTTGTCCCTGGTTTTAAATCTCAAAACAACTTTAAACAGCGCTGTCTCTGCACAGGAGGGAGGCCCACCGGGAGCCAGCCGTGAGGCAGGGAAGGACCTGTAGCAGAGGCTGCGGTCATTTCAGACGTCTGCCACAAACAGCACCTCTGCCCCATGAAATCACGGCAGTTGGTCGCCACTGGAAGCGCAGCTCACCTGCGCAGGCTCCA